CAAGGACTATCAGTTGCTATTTTATTGGATATTCTGAAAGATCCAGGAGTTGCGAGTTTTATGATCCCATGAATAAATCAATTTTCGAGATGGGAAATGCCCGGTTCTTTGAGGACGTTGAGTTTGCTGGGGGAGAAAGAGTTAGGGACTTTGTCTTTGAAGAGGAATACGTTTATATTCCTCCAATTACTATTGATAATGATCAGGATCATGCTCCTATACCTGACATTGTTCAAGAAGCAACTCTGGATTTAGACGATGTCATTGAACCTCTCGTTCAAGTTCAAGAAGTTGTTCTAAAAGAACAAACTCTACAACCTCAAGAATCAATACCATTAAGGAGATCTACTAGAGAGATGAGAAGTGCGGTTCCGGACGATTACATCGTATTTCTCCAAGAACATGAGGTTGACATTGGAGTGGTGGAAGATGATCCAATCAACTTCCGTCAAGCCATGGAAAGTTCTAACTCTCAAAAGTGGATCAATACCATAAATGAAGAGATTAAGTCCATGAAGGACAATGACGTATGGGATCTTGTCCCATTGCCTGAAGGTGCGAAATGATTGGTTGCAAATAGATATTTAAGACCAAGAGGGATTCGAAGGGCGATGTGGAGAGATACAAGGCACGTCTTATCGCTAAGGGCTTCACACAGAAAGAAGGCATCGATTATAAAGAGACTTTCTCTCCAGTTTCATCGAAAGACTCTTTCAGGACCATAATGGCTTTGGTGGCGCATTTTGACCTTGAGTTACATCAGATGGATGTTAAGACTGCATTTCTCAATAGTGACATTGATGAGACAATTTATATGGTGCAGCTAGAAAACTTTGTATCGGGCGATGCAAAGCAAATGGTTTGCAAATTAAAGAAATCCATCTATGGACTCAAGCAGGCATCTCGTCAATGGTATTACAAATTTCACCAAGTTATCATCTCGTTCGGTTTTGAGATGAACGCGGTGGATGATTGTATATATCACAAGTTCATTGGGAATAAGCATATTTTTCTGATTTTATATGTTGATGACATACTGCTTGCTAGTAATGATATAGGCTTATTGCATGAAACTAAGATATTTCTAGCAAAGAAATTTGAAATGAAAGATCTTGGTGATGCCTCTTTTGTTTTAGGGATTCAGATACACCGAGATCGGTCTCGTGATATTCTTGGATTATCACAAAATAGCTCTACCAAAAAGGTACTTAAGAGATTTAACATGCAGGATTGTAAACCAGGTGACACCCCTGTAGCTAAGGGAGATAAGTTCAGTTTAAGTGAATGCCCCAAGAATGACTTTGAAAGTAAAGAAATGCAGAAGATTCCTTATGCTTCGGCTGTAGAGAGTCTAATGTATGCTCAGGTTTGTACTCGTCCAGATATTGCGTACATTGTTGGGATGCTAGGGAGGTATTTAAGTAATCCGGGAATGGATCATTGAAAAAGCAGCCAAACGGGTCATGCCGTATTTACAGAGAACAAAAGGTTACATGCTCACATACAGGAGATCGGATCAGTTGGAGATCATCGGTTATTCTGATTCTGATTTCACTGGATGCCAAGATAGTAGGAGATCCACATCGGGCTATATCTACCTGCTTGCTGGAGGAGCTATTTCCTGGAAGGGTGCTAAGCAGACACTTATAGCTTCTTCCACCATGGCAGCGGAGTTTATAGCATGCTATGAGGCATCCAACCATGGGATATGGCTGCGGAACTTTGTCACTGGGCTGCGCATTGTGGATGGCATATAAAGACGACTCAAGTTATTTTGTGACAATAAGTCAGCAGTTATATATTCCAACAACAACATGAGCTCGACGAAGTCGAAGCATATAGACATCAAGTTCCTAGTTGTTAAAGAAAGAGTTCAGAGTGGACAGATGTCTATAGAGCACATCGGAACAAACTCCATGGTTGCGGATCCACTTACTAAGGGATTGCCACCCAAGGTCACACTGCTCATATGGGTGTTGTATCTCTTAAGGATATGTAGTTTCAGTGGGAGTTTATGCTTTAGTTGCTTTTTAGATTTAAACACGTGTTATGGTAAACTTCGGATATGGTTTATGGATATTTTGGTTATTTTCAGTTATAAAGTATTTGGTTTATTTTGTCTCTGAACTTGCTTGAAATTGATCTCACTAAGGTATAAGGTTGGACCAGTTGGAAATAGACATGCTTAAATCACGTTGCATGTAATTTCCATACTACACATCCATGCTTGATCCATGTCATTCGGTTATATCGGTATACATGACCATTAATGGGTTTAGTTACGATAAATGTAGCGAAAGCCGTTTTGATCCTATGTTGATATGATTGATGGACCGGATTGTTTGGGGATGCATTCGGTAATGATAGCAAAATTCTGAGTACTCATAAGGTTATTTTTAATGCACAATTATAAGGTGACACATATAGCCTAAGTGGGAGATTGTTGGGTTTTAATTGACCATGTGGGCTTATATGTTTATTATTGTGTGTTCGAGGCTATCATATTAGGATGAGCCCATTTAAAGTGATCTGATAAGGTTTTAAGTATATGGGGCTTTAATGCATCTAATTAAGTGTGGGTCTTTTATATGTAGAGACCAAATCATTATTTCTATTTTTATGATGGGCCAAATTAGAAATAATGAAAGTTAATAGACAGTTAACTAATATACGGTTATGGTCCCCAAATCACACGTACGTTTTCATTCTATTTCTAGCATCCTATCATCAGAGAGAATCCAAAGGAAACTCTAAAGGACTACGTGTAGATTTGGAAGACTAACCGCAAGGCTTGTGATTTGCTTCCATCATGACTGATTCAGGTATGCTTCCGCTTAGATCATAAATTCTTGGTGATACAACATGAACGATCCGGTATTTAGTGAAGGTTTTCACCCTAAAGCAATTTCTCTATCAATAAATTTTCTCAAACAGTTAATTCACCTCCAAACCGCCTCTGAAGTTTGACCTCTCCGGTAGAAACAAGAATAAATGAAAAATCAAACCAATAATCGAAAATATCAGTATGAGTAGAAATATTGATACTCTAGTTTTATGAAAATTTTTAAAAAAATATTGATATCGATGGAAATAATAAAAAAATAACGAAAATTACAGACATTTACTTCAGAATAATTTCTATATAATACTTTATGATAGAATACATAAATAAACAAGTTTAAAAAAAAAAAACCTTCATAAGAAAAAATTAAAAAAGGTGAAGATGCCTCTGCAAAGTTTAATCATGTAGACTAGGATATGATAAAGTACGGGGATGTTTGGTTGGAGGATTCAAACCATGATTTGAATCATGATTTATGGTTCGCTACAGTGTTTTCTCTCATAAAAAATACATGTAAATCGAAAATAGTTTTAATCACATGATTCTAATTCATGAACCAAACGTATTTGAGGGGAAAAAAAGCTTTAAACAATTGAAAGTTTCCTTTTCAAAATGTTCATTTCTGAAATTTCCCAAAAGTGTGCTGACACTATATATTTACTGGTGTCGATATATATATTAATTTTTATCGATGTTTCCGATAGTTTGCCAAAACCGATTTTGTAGTGAAAAAATTCAACGGAAATTTACGTCCATGAATGATGAATCCAAGCTAGGTTATAAGTATAGTAGCGCGACTCCAATCTTTTCTAAGCATGTGTAAGAACAACCAAATTGAAAAAAAAAAAAAAAAAAAAAGCTGCAGATGTATACAAACTATTATCATAATAAGTCTAGATTTATTAGCAAGCCAGGAAACAATGGAAGAGAGAACTGCTGCATATGAAATGGTAACGTCTACAAGAAGAGCTTTCGGTATTCATCTTCTTTTTGTGCCATCTCCTCAAGGCTTTTGTCCTTCCTTTCCTTATTGAAGTCCAGCTTTCATTTGCTTCAAATCTACACCACCAATGAGCAGTAATTGAGCTAGAAATTTATGTCCATAAAGGCTAATAATTAAAACAAAAATTTAATAAAATTATAAGATTAATTTTTAAAAATTTAGTGGCAATTATGTGTATATTAATATAATAAAATACATACTTATGTATATAGAAATAAAAAATTTTGGATAGAGAAGTCAGTATTTGAGAAAAAAGCTCGGAAACCAATTTCAGGAATCAAATGAAATTTTGACCTTACTGCATCATATATCTCATCTATCCTAGATTTCAGAAAGAGCTTATGCATGCTTTTAACCTTATATGACAGTCTGTAACATATAATTATTCACATATAAGTTTAATATTAGTTTAAAGATTCAACACATAACGCCTTTAATCATTTGCTTGAGTTGACTAGCTAGCAATATATATGCATGACGGTTTTTCATGATATGTGCATGTTGCACTCAATTTTGTAAAGGAATCATCGTACCTGACAACATTAATAAAGTTAATTTTATGTGTGCAGTATCGGGTTTTTCCTGTAAATGCATTTGGCCAATTCCATTAGAGCATTTAAGTTGGTCTTATGGAAGTGCCATGAGACTTAAAATTGATTTTATAAAAGTGCCTGAAACGGGAATTGATCCTAATATTGGTAGTGTCTAAAACATGGATTTTGTCTCATGGAATTGTACCGAACAATTTGTATTCTTATTTGCTAGCCTAAGCGGAGAGACTTACAATGCACACAATTATGTGTGCATGATACGTTTTTATAAGTAGTTGAGTACGATGAGGATTTTGATGATATAATATAGTATCATGGCATAATTACACATGGTTTTTACTTGGTTTTAGTTCACGTCGTACGTAGATCTTGTTCTACAGGTGATCTAGAGCATTACATGCTCTCCTAATTTACGACTCTTTATCGAAAGGTTATATACAACTTTTAGGATCAACCTAGGTGATCTAGAGCATTACGTGAAAGACGGGGAGATTATTAATTTTCTCGAAAGGTTATATACAAGTTTTAGGATCAAGGGACTGAGGGGATGACATTGCAGGCAGTTTCATGAAATTGAGATTGAACATAGAGTATGAACATAGAGCTATGAGGCTAAGAGTCTTGTGGAGGCATAAGCATCTAATCCTACAGATCTCCAGCTATAAATTCGGTTGGTGAAGAGCCATCTCGCTTCCTGGATTGAAAGAGGAGGTCAAAGTAGCTAACTAGCGGTTTGAGCTAGTGTATATTGAAAACTTTGGTAGTTAGTGGAGGCAATTATTATTATTATTTTGTTTAAATAAATTAAAAACAAGGCTTATACATGCACCTCAGAAAAACTGAGGAAAAAAATGACTTGAAAAATTGAGCAAGAATGAGGAAAGAAACAAAGATTAGTAAGAGCTGCTTCTTGTTCTGGCAAGAAATAGCGTGTTGGAGTGCGTGGAGAACCTTCTCATCAAACAGAGCGTATTGCCGTTTCATTTCAACTAATGCTTTCCCCACAAAGGCGTCCACACTGTCCTCGTAGTTCTCGTAAAGCATTGGCATTGTCAGCAATATCACGGTCACTGCACCAAACAGAAAGATATGCATTCAAAAACCATAACTTTGTCAATAATGTCATTTAATAGTTGAGAGAATTTTGGTTGCATATCTCTGGCTTCACAAGAATATAGTACTATTACTGTAATATCTAGTATTTCCCAATAGGGAATAACAAACACACATCTGCAACCATTAGTTTTAAGTTCTTTTGTCTCATTATGAGAAGTAAACCTAAAAAGCGAGAAAATGGTCGATACGACAAGAGAATAAGAACAAATGAAAAAAAAAAAAAAACAACGATGGAGCTGAAATTGACTAAAGTACAAGGGTTAGAGCAAAGATAATTTCACTCCTTTTAGTGTTAAAGATCTAAAGTTCAAATCTCCCCGTCTTTCACGTAACATGTAGAAAGAAACGTAAAATGACATGTAATCAATGTGGCACTGACGTTTGTAGAGGTGTGTGACAATAGTTTATGATAAATGTCAGTGTTACATTGAATATTATCATGTTACACTTATCACTTCAACGTGTAACATGGAAACCATAGACAAGTCATATATGCAGCCATAATGAGACAGTTCCGTATGACAAGAGAAGTATAATAAGAAGAAAAGACGGAGCTGAAACTGACCTAAGTAAAGGACAGTTAAGAAGTTGAACCAGCTACCAACAACCGAAAGAACTCCCAGAGGCAAAACCACCTGCAAATTAGTAAATTTCTCATGTCACCATAGAGAAAATCCTAAGGAAAAGCGACAAGCCAGCCATGACAAACAATAAGTCCAGAAAGTAGAGGATGAATGTAAAAGTACCATGAGAAATTTGTTAAAATCTGTTCCCAAAATCACATCATCTCGTAATGTTTTCATTGTCTGATGATACTCACACCTCAGTGAAAGAGCTGCTTCCACGAACGAGCCTTCCGATAATGTAATATGAGGAAATTCTGGTGGTGACCTATTTCAAAAGCCATAAAAGAAAAAAAGAAAAAATATCTTAATGACAGATATTTAGAGGCAATTTCAGAGTAAATAAAAGTACTTCGTACAACCAAAAATCAAATATTAGAAAAGCTTTACGGCCACGTTTGGTTCCTACACTTAAACTTATAATTCTGATTCTGCTACGGTATTTTTCAAAGAATTTGAATTCAAAAATTTCTTCGAACCAGAATCATTAACCAAACGGACCCAACATATTTCTTAAATCAGAGCAAAGGAATTGGGAGAGAAAAAAAAAAAAAAAACTTACATAATATTGGTGAAGGAGGCTAGATTGGACCAGAGGAAGAGTGAAGACAACAAAAGTAATAAACCATGACAAAAGAATGCAAGGAAGTGATAATTTATCCACTCAAAGAGAAGCCATATAACTGTTGCAACGGCAAGGACGCTTGCTGATATCTCTTTGTTTCTCCATAGTATAATATCAGCACCTGATGATCACAAAATCAGCGCAATTCATAAATTTTTGCTCAAAAAAGGATTCATATGCATCATAAACATGATAATAATACTACCTTAAAGCTGTAAAACCGATGTTAAAAATAAGCAAAAAAACACAAAACTCGTACACGAGGATGCAAATTCATATCGTAAGTTTGAAAATTATGATTAATATACCCGTAAACAAAAACTCAGATACAAAAGATGTCAATGTCCTGAACCAGTAATAATAATTTTTTTTGTTAATCAACCAGTAATAATAAATAGAAATATATGATTTTCAGTATTGTTGGAAAAAAAAAAGATGGAAGAAGAAATTTAAAGCTTTTACATACATAATCCGCCGCCGAGGATCAAATGAAGAGGCCTTTGCCGGCCGAATAACCGGTTTCCGCAAGTTACATTATGGACGTAGAATTTCTCAATCCCATGATCAGAAAAATCATCATCATCGTCATCATTATGATCAAGATTATCATGATCGTCTAAGTCTCTGAGAAAATCGTAATCAGCAATATCCACATCCAGGAGATCCATGGTATATGTCAATTAATTGAACAGGAAAACTCTTCCTTATTATTCTGCGTAGAATTTGCGAAGAAAAATTTTTATTCTATGTAAACGGAAAGTCCGCAACCACAACTTCCTTTAAGGGGGAAAAAAAAAAAGACGCCTTCATATAAATATATACGTGTTTGTACGCTTATGTTGCATGCGTTGACCTGTAGGGTTTGGGAAATTCCTCTAATTATCCCTCGTGTGTTATTGAATTTTCCTTTTTTTATCCTTTTTTGTTAACTGGATTTTGTCCCTTGTTATTTATTATTTATTTTTCTGAATATCACTATCCATTGTTATTTCGATAATTCAAAAAGGGATATTGCTTTAGAGATGTAGTTAATGCTATGAAATATATGTGCATTAATCGGTTAAATTCATACCCTCTAAAATTTATCCCGCCATTTATTTTGTGTAAACACGGTGATAAATTTATAATGGTTTGTTGCGGTTAGGATGTGAATCTTACTCGCAGGTAAGAGTATTTGCGGGTATCCACTTTTAATAGAGTGAGTATGAGAGATACTATATAGAAGTAAAAGTGGGTATAAGAATTAGAATTAATCTCTGAGTTAGGGATGAGACTGGGGTGGCCCGACTCGATTATATATACTTTCATTTTATATATTATATATATTATACTTTAAAAAATCTTAAAATTTATTGGAGTTTAAATTTGTTTTCGATTTATAATTATGAGACATTAATGAGTATATTGTTAAATTTTATAATTAATTTAATGATGTTTGCTTTGAGTTTTATAATGTTACAGAAAATGTTTTATTTTTTTTTAATGAGTAAATAAGTATGGTATGAAGACAGTTCTTAATGGGAATTTTCTAATTCCAACCCGTCTAAAAATAGATGGATATGGAGAACAAAATAAGAGTAGGGTAGGGAGCCCCGCCTCGTCAGATTCTCATCCCTAGTTGCGGTTTTTATTTATTTTACTCATGGATAGTCATAGCAAAGATTATAAGACTATTTTATATATAGTATTTGAAATAATATCTTATAACTAATCATTAGTTTATTATTTTTATTAAGTCCAGCCATCTTTTTGGTAGAAACTAGAAAGTCTCGCGCCTAATTGTTCCCTAGCTAGTAAATACTACAGATTGTTACCTAAATAATTGTGGCAATAGCTTGCTTGAAAAAAAAAAAAGAAGGAAAATAATTAAAATAATTATATTTTTATAAAATTTTAAGGGTTATTTTTATCAATGGGCCTCAAAACCATTCACTTGTCTCATTTTACTGTTTAGCTATTAGCTATAATGATGTTTCTAAATACACAATTTTCACACTGTTAATAAATCATCTATTTTTCTAACTTAATTTAACACGAGAATAATATGTGAGAGTTTATTTTTAAAAAGAATGTAGTATAGTAATGTGATTTTTTAAAATTTATTTTAACAAAAACTCTAATAAAAAGACGAAGTGACCTTGTGCCCTTTTCCAGTTTGTTTTTTATATAAATTTAATAAAAAATAATTAAGTGAGATTAATTTAAATTTTGTAAGATAAAATGAGAATTTTTGAACTTTAAGACACAAAAGTGAGAATGATGCTAAATCTCAAGGGGCATGGAGAGAATAATTCACAACTATTTATCCCAAATTTTATAATATGCGAAACTTGATTTTATTTTGTTTTTATTTTTTAATCCTTCATCCCCAAGTCCAAGTTGTCCAACGAACTGACGAAATGGAAAATGGGGCGACTTGGAAATATTTCCTTCGGAATCTCTAGTCCACGGTAGTTTCCTTCCCCAATTCCGATTCCCTCTCCGACAGAAAATTCCACAAAATCCCCACCGGATTCCTAACCTCTCACTTCCACACTTCGCCGTCTCCGGAATCGGAAGCAAACTCGCGGCGGCGGAGCTCTGCCGAGCAAAGAAACCGAAGCTCATTCTCAAACTCCCAAAGAAGACGAAGTAAGAAGCCATGGAAGCTGTGGCGGAGGGACTTTGGGGCCTAGCGGACTACCACGAGAGGAACGGCGAGATAGGGAAGGCGGGGAAGTGCCTGGAGGCGATATGCCAGAGCCAGGTGACGTTCTACCCAATCGTGGAGGTCAAGACTCGCCTTCGGATCGCGACTCTTCTCCTGAAGCACTCGCACAACGTCAACAACGCCAAGTCCCACCTCGAGCGCTCGCAGCTTCTCCTCAAGTCCATCCCTTCCTGCTTAGATCTCAAGTGCCGCGCTTACAGCCTCCTCAGCCAGTGCTACCATCTCGTCGGCGCCATTCCCCCGCAGAAGCAGATCCTCCACAAGGCTCTCGAGCTCACCGCTTCCGCCGGCGACGAGTACGACCTTTTTCCTCTCATCTTTGTCTGCTCAAATTTGCTTCTTTTTGCTCTTTTTTTTTGGTTCGGATTTTTTTTCCTCAGTGGTTAATTTGGTCCTAAATAGCCTGAGAGTGCTGAAAATGAATTTGTTTGTTGTTATGTATTGGTTTTTTTTAAATTCCTAGTTGTTTTGATGTTGGGTGAAATTGATAGTGTGGAAATTGAGGGGTAAAAAATAGCCTAAAATAAATAGAGATTACAGCCGCTAAATTTGGGAAACAATCGTCTGATACAATTAATCAAATGTGTATTAAGTGAGGGAATTATATTTAGCAAGAATTTCAAGTGGTTCATAATTGGCGCTCTCCATGAGCTAGTTTCCTTTCTTGGCTTTGGGCATCAATTTTGAACTATTTGTAAAGTTTTTGGTGGGGTAGTTATTGTTTTGTGGTTTTTTTTTGTGAAGGATTTCAGTGAAGTTATGGTCATGCAACTTCAACTCGCAGCTTGCGAATGCTCTGATAATCGAAGGAGACTATCAGAGTTCGATTTCCGCCCTCGAGTGCGGTTATATTTGCGCAACTCAAATAGGCTATCCGGAGTTACAGGTTAGTGTGTAACGGGTATCTTTCTAGCTGTTTGGTCCCAGTGCTATTCTTATTTCATAGCGACTAGTCAGAAAAAATTAACAGCGTTGCCATTTCTGTCTATAAATGGATCTTTTCGGAATTAATTTCCGACATGCTTTGCAAAGAATGATATCTGTCATTCCAAAAACTTGTTTTTGTGAATGAAAAAAAAAAGTGAGAGAGAGAAGAAAAGAATAACAGGTCCTATATAATATGTATGGTACGATATTACAAAATAAGAAAGAATTACAGCAGAGTATAACCTCCTTGTGGCCCAACTTTTACGGGTGTACACGTCAGTAATTTGTTGCTCTGTTATGTGATCCAGATGTTCTTTGTAACTTCTGTCCTGCACGTGCATCTAATGATATGGGATGATGTCAATTTGGTTGAAGCGGCTGTTAATAAATGTCTTCAAGTCTGGGAGACTATTCATCCAGAAAAAGTATGTTGATACTTTCTTTTATTTTATCAGTTTGTAGTTCTGTTTTCTGTATGGAGTAGCCGAAATGAGAGAGATTTGTCCTTTTTTCTTGTTTTTTTCCGCTGTTCCTTTGCTAATTTCTTTTGTGTCTACCATAATGTTATCTCCTCAATTCCAAAAAGAGACAACTTTGCCTTGGTTTGCTCTTTTACAATGAGCTGTTGCAAATATTCTATCTGCTCCGGATATGTGATTACAAGAATGCTGCACAACATTTAGACAAATTGGATGTTGCAATGAAGGCTGATTTGCAGCAAACACAGCATATAAAGGAGCTGACAAATGAACTTGACGCCTTGAATCAAAGTCTCTCTCGATCTGATCTAAACTACAGAGATAGGTCAGCACTGTCGGAAAAACAAGCTCAGTTGCAGGAGAGGTTGAGAAGTGTAACAAGTTCAATTAATTTATCTGGAACAGGATCACTGGATCCAGCTTATTTTGGCAATATGAGACGTTCGTATGGAGACAAGCTTGTGTTGGCACCACCGCCCATTGATGGGGAGTGGTTACCGAAAAGTGCGGTCTATGCTCTGGTTGATCTTATGATTGTCATATTTGGGCGTCCAAAAGGTCTTTTTAAGGAGTGCGGAAGACGTATTCAATCAGGAATGCATGCCATACAAGGTTATTTGTTTATTTATTACATTTCTTTCTTCCTCTTCTTGTTTTTTGTTTTTTGTTTTTTTTTTTTTTTCCCCCTGATGCTAATACTTTTATGAATGATGTTGATAATATACAAATAAGGTTTACAATCAATATTTACATATAGATTTAGGGATCTAAATAATTTTTTTCCTTTTATATTTTTGGCAGAGGAACTGGCAAAGCTTGGAATAACCGATGGTGTGAGAGGTGATTCTTGGATGCCTAAAAACCCATATTTTTGTACTTATGTGATCCTTTTGTTACAAAACTACTTTTTCCTTTTGAGCAGAGGTCAATTTGCAACACTCTGCCATTTGGATGGCTGGTGTATATTTAATGCTGCAAATGCAATTCCTTGAAAACAAAGTGGCTGTGGAGCTGACTCGATCTGAATTTGTTGAAGCACAAGAGGTACATGCTACCTTAATTAGTTGTTCTTTTTCCGGGAATTTATAATTATTATTTATTTTATTATGTGCTCTGCATGAATATATACATTTTTTTAATTTTAATTATCTGAACTGGAAACTTTAATTGAACTTTTTTTTTTTTTTGCCATGGAACTTTTTCTCTTCTATTTTCCTGTTATCTAAAATTAACCCATCTTTTCTGGCAGGCATTGGTGCAAATGAAAAACTGGTTCACGCGCTTCCCTACTATTTTACAATCTTGTGAGAGCATCATTGAGATGCTTAGAGGGCAATATTCTCATTCTGTTGGTTGTTATAGTGAAGCAGCTTTTCACTATATTGAAGCTGCAAAGGTAACTTTACCTTCCTGCAACTTCCTTGCTCAGTTTTGATGACGCTAAGGCAGCACTTATGCTTGTTCCCTAGGAATTCTGTGGTTTGTGTTTTTCTTTTCTCGATCAATATAATTTATTTAATTGAACAAATGCTTTGGGGGCTGGGTCACACAGGTTGTTGTAACTACCTTAGGAATCTGACTTAAAGTTTTTCTTTATTCAGCTCACGCAGAGCAAATCAATGCAAGCTATTTGCCAAGTTTATGCAGCTGTCTCTTACATCTGCATTGGTGATGCAGAATCTTCTTCACAGGTGAAATATTCTCCAGTACTGACAATGTTTTGTTGCTTCTCGGGTGGCAATTAAAGTTTACTTTTAGAGTTAAAAGTTTCTTTTAAATCTTGGAATTATTTCCTTCTCACGGAAGAGGAGTTTGTATACAGGCACTGGATTTAATTGGACCAGTTTACAGAATGATGGATTCATTTGTTGGAGTTCGAGAGAAAACCAGTGTCCTTTTTGCTTATGGCCTTTTATTGATGAAACAACATGATCTACAAGAAGCAAGGTAAATAATTTTAATCCTTTCCAGCAAAGTAATAATAGTGATACTAATTTCAAAAACCTTTGACCTTTCTACAAGTAGTTGGGTTAATGTTACGTTCCTGCACAGTTCAATGATTCACAAATGGAAGCAAGTTGATTCTCTAGAAATTTAGACAGGTCCCTTTTATTGATTCAACCAACAAGATCTCCGTTGGAGGTGAATTCCTCTCTCAGAGAATTACAGGAAAGAAATGGAAATAGAAATGAACCAAGGGAAGATAGAAATGGGAGAATTCGAGGTTCCCTGCCTCCAAGGTCTGAAACAGAAAATACTCAATTCCCAGACCATGCCCTCACGCCCTACCCTACTGCCTAAATACCATTCCGTTCACACTCGTAACTAACTTGCCAACTCAGCAACTTTTATTCCCTAATCCCACTTCCTTCCCCTGCTTCCTGCAATTTACCCTTCCTGCCCTTCCTCCTAGAGTACACTAACATCACAGGAGGCCTAACAGTTAATGACTTTGATGGATCTGGCTTAATAGATGATACTCTATATATTACATCTTTAGTTGCGTTTCAACCACTACGTTTACTTTGCAACATTTTATGTAATATTGTAATCTTTACTTGATGTATTATTAGCCTTTTTTCTTCTCCTCTTTGCTCAGACAATAGAAGAGGAAATGGACGAGTATTTCATTAACTATGATCTCTGTATAGACTTGACACTATTAAGTGATACGAAGGAGAAAAAAGGAACCATAACATGATGGCCTTTGAATGTCTGTATGTAGTATTATCAAATTGCTCTCAGACCCAGCATACTGGAAAGCCTAAGATACAAACATCTTCTCTGCTGAGTGATCCAGGAACTTATAATTGCTTTTCTCCCTCTTTTCTCTCCGAGCCTCCCAGGATGATAACTGGACAAAATCTTGACAACCTTATGATGACAGCTCATTATAAACTAATGAAATACCGGCTTCCAACCTAAAGCGGATCCCTACCTCTCCTTCAATTGATTCTTTGAAATGTAACTGTGATGCAGAAATCGACTGGCCAGAGGTTTGCAGTTGACACATAATCATTTGGGAAACCTCCAACTCGTTTCTCAGTATTTGACAATCCTCGGGAGTTTGGCACTTGCCCTGCATGATACTGTACAGGCTAGAGAGATTTTGAGATCATCCTTAACATTGGCGAAGAAGCTTTATGATATTCCTACACAGATATGGGTGCTCTCTGTTTTATCAAGTATGTCTGATCCCCTATTAGCCTATTTATTTTCTGTTACTTATAGGCGGGAAATTCTGGTTTCTTTCCTACTGCTACTAGATTCCCGTCTTATTAATTTCTCTGGCAGCCTTGTATCACGAATTGGGTGAGAAGGGAAATGAAATGGAGAATACCGAGTATCAAAGGAAAAAGATGGAGGATCTGCAGAAGAGACTTGCTGATGCACATTCATCTATTCATCACCTTGAACTAGTAAGAGCATTAATTTTGGCCTTAAGAGTGGAAAATAGATTTGCACGTATTACCATTATTTTTGACGTATAACCATCTTCTACGAAGTTATAGCCACTTTATGATATCGGTTGTGCATATAATGGCAGATTGACAAAGTAAAGTTTGAATTCCACCAATTTCATGACCTTGATATCAAGCGCGCAGTTGGGGATCCATCGACAAGAGTCGATCTAGACATCCCAGAATCTATTGGTTTTTCAACCCCATTACCTAACTTTCAATCAAGGCTAGTGGATTTAGACACCGGAAGACGTGGGAGGAGGAAACTATGACTTGATAGAAAAAGAAGCCATCGAGCTTAACCCAGTTGTAGAGTATGTTCTAGTAAACGGCGTCTTTACCATCAACTTTTAGGAATTCTGTGCAGTTCTTAATTAGATGCCGTTCCCTAATTGTTTGTCTCCTTTTTATTCTTCATTATATTTTTGGTGTATAAATTATGATGCTCTCAGTCAAGTGAAGCCAGTGCTCTAAACTTTTTGTAGATGAAGTAGTTTTTGCAAATGTGTCATATTTAGTCACATGACTGATTACAGTTGGTTGTTGGAAGAATAGATCCCAAAACTGCAATATAGCTTTTTAACCGTCTAAGGATTCGTTTAGTAGTGCTACTTTTTTAGAAATCAAAAGCTGATAATGGTGTTTAGTAAAAATCATAAAAGGTGATTTTTAAAGAATTTTTGAAGAATCTACGGTTAAAATTAGAAACAGTCTAAATGCAATTTTAGTTTTTAAATTGTGCATGAATCAGCATAGTATAATTAATGATTATCAACAAAGTTATATTAAATAATTAATAATTAATTACTAATTATATTATATATTAATTAATAATTAATAAATAGATATACTTATTAACTAATAAATAGATAGTAATTACTCAATTATTAATTAAATATTAATTTATTACAATAGGTTATTAAATAAATAATTAATATATCAATAATATATTATGTTAATTATAATCTATTAATTAGTAAATAAAAAATAAATAGTAATTACTCAGTTTATAAGTAATATTAAATTATAATTATCAATATGTAATATATTAATCAATAATAATTAATAATTGATAATTAGTAATTAATCAGTACAAAAAGAATAATTACCAATATTAATAAATTATGTATATACTAATTATTTTTCTTAAAGAATAATTACCAATATTAGTAAATTATGTATATACTAATTATTTTTCTTAATACACTAACTAATTACATACAATCTAATAAATATGAGTGCCTTACTAACATAGTGATTATTTATAATTAATTACTAATTACTATTTTTAATTATTTAGCATATTAATTTATTATATATATAGTTTAATTACTAATGTACTTATTAATGATAATTTATCCATTATTATTATATTATTAATATATTAATTTTTATTTGCTAAATAATTATCAATTATTAATTACTTAATGTATTAATTTATTATCAATTACGGTCATCTTAACTACCCACAACAATTTAACCTCACAATTTACCAAACGTTATTACAGACTGCTTTTGGAACCAGCAACACTTGTATAATTACAGTTTATTAAATACTCAGCTGCCTTTAGTAACAATTATTTTTTTTTTCAACACAGTTAAAAGTAATTTTTTCATAATCTACTGCACTACCAAACTGATCTTAAGTATCGGTGCTTATTATATGAAGCTTCCTATTCTCTCTTTCAAGTTTTGTTCACATTTAAAGTAAGGGAGAACAATGTGATTCATAATACATAGTCAAAATTATGAGTGGGGTGAACCAATTTGGCTCAAATTTGGACGAGAACTTGGAGAGAAAATGCATCATCTACAATAAACGTAAATTTTCCAGCCAACTTGTATTAAAAGGGATTTGCTTCCCCACTCTGCACAGCCAGCTCAGAGGCCTCCAGTTGAGAGAAGAATCAGCAGGGATACAGGGTAGTATATTGTTGAAACTCTCGTCTGATGTCTTGTGTGGTACTTTCATTGCCCTTCACTCTCAGTTAGTCCAGCAATTTCTTTGAGCGGTCTCCACATGAACTTTCGCCTGGAAGCAACTTTGTGTCATTCACTCATTTTCCCTGAACATGGAGATTTTCTCAACTACGAAAAGAATCCTAAATATGAATCCATGAAGTGCGAGCTTACCAGTTTCCGCATTCAGCGATGACCCTGACTTTGGGTCTGAGCGTTGGAAGCAATGCGAGAAACTGCAGTTCCGCCTTTGACAAAACCTGCGAGTGCCCCACATGAAAAGAAAAACCAATTCAAACTTGTTCTTAAGATCATTTTGTGTTTCAACTCTACATTAACCCTTTGGATACAAGTACCTTGGCTTCAATAATCCAGATCACGAGTCCTATAGCATTCGGAGGCAATGCTTCAAGCCTATAATCAACCTCCGGCGGGAAGTACCACCTTGCTATAGGTTGCTTCCCTAAATGAGCCTACTTTTTACCAACAAACGAAACATAAAGATTCATATTGAAAATTGACTAAATGTTGTATCAAGTTATGCTTAACAAATGAATCCTAACGAATAGAATTATTTGCATGGAAATTGACTACTAACTCACAGGGCAAACAGGGTGAATCTTGGTGAGGGTGGTTTCAAGATCGCCTAAGCCTCGAGCCGAAAGGTCGAGGAAATAGTAGCCCTGGTATATCAAACGGTTGAGGTATCGTCCCTCGTACCCTCCTTCATGGGGTGAATATATAGCAAGAGCCTTGTGTTCTTCAACATCCGAAAGCCACTTGCCTAAATCAAACCTCAGCAAATCTGCTCCAATAAAGTCCCCTATTTCTCTTGCGTTACACCTTACCAGCCCAATCCTCTTCGTCGCCTTCATTGTCGTCGTCGTCTTTGTGTCGATCTTTCCTGTCATCTTTGAATACGTCATGGCGTTTTGTTTTGGAGTGAGCTGTTTCTGCTGGAGAAAGGCTGAAAACGGTGTCCCATACTTGAAGTTTGTTGTAACTGCCATTTTCATCTCTTGCTTTTTTTGTGTTTCCAATTCCTTTTTTCTTTATTTTTTTTTTCTAGGACCAAAGGAAGAAAGTGATCGCAGGAGAGAAGAAGGCCATGTTAGTTGAATAAATGGGAATTGGATAAAGGTTTAAATGGAGCTGTGCAGACGTTTTGGGTTGTATGGTGCATAAACAAGATAAGAGATGATGACCCAGTTTTTAGTTTCATCTATATTTGTAGTGTTCCTTTTGAGTTTAAAAAGTGGACCCATGTTAGAATCAAACAAACTCACTTTGGCCAACCAAAAAAAAAAAAAAAAGGCTGGTGTGTTGTGGACTTGTGCCTACAAATTCATAAATTTCGTGGCCAACACAAAATACATAAAATTAGTGGCCAAAATGAAATTCGATGAAAATTGTAGGAAAGTTTTTTTTTTTTTTTTCCTACCACAAAATTCTCCTATAAAATTTAAAGCTAGTACCATTTTTGATATAAATGTTAATAACAATATTATATTTGATAAATAATATAAAAGCAATATTATTTTACTTCATTTTTTCATAAATTTCAAGTTTTAGAACTAGAAAAAAATAATTTTTAAACAATTTAAAAATGAAATCCCATATTATTAAAAAACAATTGACATCCCATATTATAATTTATATAAAAATAAATAAATCTCTATATCATAAAAATTTGGCTGATTCTTTTTGACATTAATGTGTATACAAAAACGGATTAAAATGTGATTTGCTTCTTTCAAAACATAAACAAGTAAATATATGTGTGCGTGATTTGCTCCCCACACCCTGCACCAACACTCAAAACCGGACAAGTTCAAGTTCAAGCCAAGGTCACAAACAGAAAAAATAATAACAAAAAACGTGCATTTTTTATTAATTAAAACTGCAAGAAGAAAGACGCACTATAAATAGAAGGGAATCTCATGATTTGAACACAAAATTTTCCGAGTTCTGACGAGCAAGCTCAAGTGAAACTGGAAACTGGAAAGACAACGACAAGCTAGAACTCTTCTGAAAATACAAGAGAACAAAGAACCGCGCCGGAAAAAAAAGTCAAAATTTTTTTATCACTGAAATGCTTAATTCATGCATTAGCACCAACGAAGAACTCAGAAAAGTTTCGTAGCAGAACTGAGGAATCTCTTCTTCAATTTCACTCATTTTCATAATCCTAAAATCTTCTTCTTGCTTCGACCGAATTAGGGTTTCCGATTTGCTTTGATTAATTTGAATTTCTGAAGCGAAATCATCGCCATTCTCGTCGATTTTTGGTTTTCCGAGAGAAATAGTTCGATCGAGTGAGTAGGATTTATTTACAAATGGTTGGCGCTACTACGACATCGAAGTGGTACAGAGCCGGCGAGCTTCTTCTTCAGCAACGGAGGATTCATCGGATTCGGGCTTCCGGTTCGCTATGTGTAATCGTCAACGATGTATGTGCGAACCATTACAGTACCGGACGAGGACGGCGAAGTTTCGTCCATGGCAGCGCCGTAAGCGGCTTCCATGGAAACCCTATTTTGCACGTCTTCAGCCCCACGGCGGCGAGGATTCCTCGCCCTAACCATATCAGTGCCTTCCGCTCTGATTACGCTTTAGAAGGTTCTGATTCTCGATCACAACCTGTGAGTCAAACTCGACACTTATCGGTTTTTGTTCGCATTTACGAGATGATTTTTTTTTTTTTTTTTTTTTTTTTTTGTGGTATTGGTTGAACTGAGAGCATTTGCGAATGGTAGGGCTCGGTGGTGAATGGGCGTTCATTTTTCTCCACATCTTCGGGCGATAACAAGGACGATGGGAAGAAAGCTTCCACGCCTGTGAGCAAAGGAACTCAAGACCAACAAGTTGCAGACATAAAAATCCTTCGAACTCTCGCTGGTTACTTGTGGATGAAGGATAATCCTGAGTTTCGTTTGAGGGTCATTACTGCATTGGGCTTTTTGGTTGGCGCCAAGGTCAGTTTGTCCAACTTTAGATATTTCATACCTTTTTGTCTTAATTACTCTCTTTTCCTTTTGGGGTTGAAGTGTGTGATGCCTAATGGAGGTTATTAGTTTCCCAGGTTCTGAATGTGCAAGTGCCTTTCCTCTTCAAGCTTGCCGTGGACTGGTTAACTACCGCAACCGGCAATGCCGATGCTCTTGCTTCCTTCACGACTGCAAACTCAACTATATTGGCTTTCTTCGCGACCCCGGCAGCAGTTTTGATTGGATATGGGATTGCCCGCTCGGGAGCTTCGGCTTTCAACGGTACTACATATGAAGTAATTGCTTGCTGCTATTTGTTCTCATCGTAAAACATGTGAACGACTACTATTAAAGTCATTTTCTTTTTAATTGTGTTTTCTGGTTTTTCTTGGTTAATTGAACTGTACTGTTGCAGAACTGCGAACTGCTGTTTTTTCTAAGGTTGCTCTTAGAACAATTCGCTCAGTTTCTAGGAAGGTATGGAACTTCCTAAATTTTTCTTGCACTTCTTTTTTATGACCCTTAGTTGTTTCATATCCCAAATTCTTCTCGTAGACTAAAGGATTAGTATCTAATTTGCAGGTGTTTTCACATTTGCATGACCTTGACCTCCAATATCATCTTAGGTACTGCTTGCGGTTCTCAGAAATATGTCCATGCTTTTGAGCTTGGTTTTATTTAATATTTTTGGATCTCGAACTCTATGATAAGTGACCATACGTTGTATGCAAATTTCTAAGGTACTCCAAATCTATGGGATTACTCGTGTAATGCATATACTGAAACACAGAGTGGAAGTACAGAAGAAAAAAATAAAAGAGGAGAAAAAAATGAACCAATGTGGTTAAAGAACCGAAAAGGGAATGCCACCAGAAGAATTGTGCAAACTTTTATAGCCACCATACATCTTTGATAATTTTAATTTTTTACATTTTCTTTTCCTAGTTCTATTTAACAATAGAATTTTTTCTAATCAACTTTTTGCGAACTTATCCATTTTCTCTTGGATGTCTAAATTTGCAGTCGAGAAACAGGTGCATTGAATAGAATAATTGATCGTGGTAGCCGTGCAATAAACTTTATTCTCTCATCCATGGTGTTCAATGTTGTGCCCACCATCCTAGAGGTATGGATCTCTTCCTTTTCTTTTCTTCTTTTCCTTTTTTTTCTTGAGCTGTTTGACATGCCCAAGGATGCTAGGTTAGTAGGTTTTATAACTTGGATAGGGATTAGATTGAAGGTCTTATTTTGCGGAAGCAACATGTTTAGACTTCAGCCTATTTTCAGTTCTTTTAACCTGTACAACTTCAACAGATTTAACACGTGTACCTTCAGATATCTATGGTTTCAGGTATACTGGCTTACAAATTTGGAGCACCTTTTGCTTGGATTACTTCACTCTCAGTTGTTGCATATGTCATGTTTACATTGGCCGTGACACAGGTACTATATCACCTCCCAATTCTTTGTTCGTCTTTATACACGAGTGAAATTAATAATTTCTCATTGATCTTCTGGTATAACATTACAAGAATATATATAGTAGAACTAAAGGACTAAAAATAGGAAACTACTTAAATGGGAATTGGTAAGTTACTACCAGAATCCCTTATTCTAGGAAACTAATAAAACAAGCTATTTGACATCTAATTTATAGCTGGCAAATATCCTTCAAATTAGAGAAGAATCCGGACCCCTAGAGATCAGGAAGGATCCGGATTTCCACACTCCCCCTCAAGCTGGGTTGTAGATGTTGACCTATCTTGGAATTAAGTTCATCGAAAATCTTTCTAGTCACAGCCTTAGTCAGAATGTCTGATGTCTGTTGACTAGTTGGAATGTATAGGAGTGATATTGTTCCAGTTTCTATCTTTTCTTTAACAAAGTGTCTGTCAATCTCAACATACTTTGTCCTGTCGTGGTGTACTAGATTCATTGCTATGCTGATAGCTGACTGATTATCACACAATACTTTCATCGGCTTTGTGATGGGAACTTTAAGTTCACAGAGTACCCTCTTTAACCACATTCCTTTGCAAATGCCATGAGCTAGTGCCCTGGACTCTACCTCTGCACTGCTTCGAGACACAACTGACTGCTTCTTGCTCCGCCATGTAACTAAGTTTCCCTAGACATATGTGCAGTATCCTGAGGTTGATCTTCTGTCTGTAATAGATCCAGCCCAATCTGCATCGGTGTAGATCTCGATCTCCTGTTTATTGTCTTTTTGAAGAACAGGCCTTGACCAAGTGTCATTTTTAAGTATCCTAGGATCCTGTATATTGCCTCCATGTGTTCTTCTGTCAGGTTGTTCATGAATTGACTCACCATACTAACAGCAAAACTAATATCTGGTCTAGTATGAGAAAGATAAATTAGTTTCCCAACCAACCTTTGATATTTCCCTTTATCAACGGGAGCACTGTCATCTTTTCTTCCCAGTTTTGAGTTGGGGTCCATAGGAGTGTCGGCAGGCTTGCATCCAAGCATCCCTGTTTCTTTCAACAAGTCTAACACATACTTTCGCTCTGAGACTGAAATTCCCTTATTTGATGGAGCTATCTCCATTCTGAGGAAGTACTTGAGGGTCCCTAAGTCCTTGATCTCAAATTCTTTGGCCAGAAAACTTTTGAGTCTGACTATTTCTTCATGATGATCTCCAGTTAGACTGATGTCATCAACATACTCAATGAGTATTGCCTTTTTCCCGGAGGTTGTATGTTTGACAAACATGGTGTGATCTGTCTGACATTGATCGTACCCAACCTTCTTGATTGCTTAGGCCCCGTTCACTTCGCGGATTCGAGTTTTCAATTCGAGCTGAGATGTGACATTTTCTGAGAGTTTTTCACTGTAGCAGAAAAAGTTAGATGTGACATTTTTTGAGAACTTTTTACTGTAGAAACTTAAAACTGAAAACTCGAATCGGTAAAATAAACGAGGCCTTAGTAAACCTGTCAAACCATGCCCTTGGTGATTGCTTTAGGCCGTATAGAGACTTCTTGAGCTTGCAGACCTTGGTTGATGATATTCCATTTTCAAATCCTGGTGGTATCTCCATGTAGACTTCTTCTCAGTCCCCGTTGAGGAAAGCATTCTTCACATCAAGTTGATATAGTGGCCAATCAAGGTTGGAAGCAAGAGAGTAATACTCGAACTGTATTGAGCTTCGCTACATGGGCAAATGTTTCCTGGTAGTCAATTCCGTAGGATTGAGTAAACCCCTTAACAACAAGTCGTGCC